TTCAGCATGATCCTAGATGTTTCTGGGAAGGGGCTTTTGTGGATAAGATTAACACTGAAATCAGCAGACGTTGAGTAAAGCACATTAACCTCCATTATGTGGGTGGGCCTCGTCCAACTAGTTGAAGGCCTGAATAAAAAACAAAGACTGATTTCCCCAAGCAAGAAGGGACTCTGCCAGCTGACTGGTTTTGAATCTGAACTGCAACTCTTCCCTGGGTATCTAGCCTGACCACAGATTTTGGATTTGCCAAGCCCCCATAATTGCATGAGCCAATTCCTTAAAATAAATTATCTATCTATCCATCCATACATACATCCCATTGGTTTTGTTTCTCTGGGGTACCCCAAGTAATACAAGGTATCTCAGGGCATGGCCAGGGGTGTGGGTGCCGTGTGGCTCTGAAGTTCAAGCAAGAAGAAACCTTGATGTTCCCATCCAATGGTTTTCAAATTTTCATGCAGATGGAGTCTTACGGGGAACCTCAGTGATCTTGGTCAACATTGACTAAATGCTTGATCTGAGTTCTTTATGTGTACCTATTATCTCATTTAATCCCCAAAGTAACCTGAGGAGGGAGGTGTGCTATGTGTCTCATCTGAAAGGAGAGGTGACTAAGGCGCATACGGGTGACACAGTCTGCTTGAGTTCTTACTGGTAAGGGGCAGAGCTGGGATATGAATCCAGGACATTTGGGCTAAGCGCAAGACCACCATCCATTCTGCCTCCCAATATGTCTAACCTCTAAAACCAGAGTTGTTCTGATTAAAGTATGCAGGAGTTCCAGAACCCCAACCCCTCAAGCCTTCCCCCTTAGGTTTCCCCCTTTCCTACCTTCTCAGACCCCTAAATCATCTCCAGAAAAACCTTACAGGTCTGTTGGATGAGTTTAGAGCCTCTGATCTAGTCCAATCCGTCCTTTAGAGAAATGGGAAAGCTAGGCCCAGAGAAGTTAAGTTTCTCACCCAAGCTCACACAGCCGGGCCATGGCAAGCCAGGACTAGAAGCCATGGGTCTTCCCACCCTACCAGGCTGCCTCTAATGACTCCAAAGAGGTCCTCAGGCAGAGGGTAGAAGCTGGGGTCCCCACTGAAGTAACAGAGGACAAAGAGTTCCCTGCAACAAGGCTTCCCCACATCCAGCCGGTAAGGGCTTCTGGGTAGGTTTGTCCCATTGAGAGCCTAATTATCTTTCCCAAGTGCATCCCCCTTGGGGGAAACAGCAGACGACTTCCCCGATCTTCCAGGTCGATCAGAGGCATTGAGAAGAGAAGTAATCTAAGCTTTGCCCCCCAATCCAGGCCCAGATGGCAGCCCTTGGGCTCTTAAGCTGGCATTCTGGTCTCTTCCCTTGGGTTTCAGCCTAGCAGAGGGCCAGGGCGCTTTGGCAAGGCTGTAGGCTCCCTAGAGCACTGCCGCAAGCATCTGTGAGAAACCCTTTGTTTGAACGGAGGAACTCTTAGACATCCGTCAAGACCCAGCCTACATCTGCCTTCCCTGATGAACCCTGGTAGGAAAATCTCTGCTAAGTCAGAGAGGACCTTTCACACACACCTCTCTGTCAGCTTTGCCTCCATTTTCTGTGATTGTCAGATGGCCTGTCTGCCTCTCAGGTCAGGGGCTGGGTCTTGGCTCCAGTACCTGGCTCCGCTTTGGGCCCAGAGGGGGCGCGGTTCACGATCGGCAGATGGCTGCACGTGTGTTTGCAGCGGGTGAAGCGGCTGCCTCTAGGACAGTGAGCAGGCCTTTACAGACTCCGACCAGGGAGTTTTTCAGACTCCCCCTTTCCCCATATGGCCCTCGGTGCCATTCTTGGTCCAGCCCCTTCTCTCTAGCTGAGGAAACTGAGTCCTGAGCGGTGACGTAACTTATCTGAGGTCACACAGCCTCTGAGTGGCAGGGCCACAAATAGAGCCCAGACCCCTAACAGAGGCCCCGGGGCCTCCTCTCCTGCCACTGTCTCATCATTCCATCTCCCCACACAGGGAGACTTAGTCCCTAACGCCAGCATTCGTGTTACAGCCACACACAGAACCTCCGTGTTCCTCAAGGTGACCACCTGCCCAGGAACCCAGGACAGGGTTTATTATTAACCCCACAGCACACAGGAGGAAACGGGCTCAGCAAAGGAGAAGACTGGCAGCCGTCTCACAGTGACCTCTTGGCCTATTTATCAGTCACACTTACGCCCGAATGTCCTGCCACCTTAGTTCAGGCAGACAAGCGCCCCAGTTTCTCTAGAACTAGGAAATTGTCCTCACTGCCCCTGCCTGCAGGACTTCCCTCAGTGCCACAAGCCCTGTGGAGACTGAATTCACAGTCTTGATGTTCCAGACACTCTGCCCCTCCTCACCCCCAGCCACGAATCCAGAGGGTAACCACTCCATAACCCCAGACTTGAAGCCCCGGAAAAGGAACCAGAGCACAGCAAACCTTGGGCTTGGCAAACAAAACATGACCTGGATTTTAGTCCACAATCACCCCCTTCACCAGGGAGCAACAATGCATACCTTGTGGCCCTGGATGGATGGAGGATGGATGGATGGATAGATGGATAAGAGCATCTATCCAGCTTGTGCCACCTCCTGGTTTCAAAGCACAGGGAGTTGGCTCATTGCTGCATCGCCCACCAGTTAGTACAGTGACCCCAATACTGACCTCAGGCCAGGTGACACTGACGGTCTTGCTGAAAAGCCACACCGTAGCCTGTAAAGCTGGGAGTCTTCAATCCTCCCTTGCTGGGCCCCAGACCCCAGCACTTCCATGGCCCAGTGTTGACACCTGGTGGTGCCTTTGGACTTTAGTCCTGGCTTTCTTTCCACTTCTCAATAACTCATTCAGAGCTGCCAAACCAGCCCAGCAGCCCACTGGCCACCTGCCCTCCACTCTGGTTCACACCAGCAGGGCCAGGCTCCGAACCAGGTAAAACCCGTGTCTCACCTCGGGAGTCTTCCATTCCCACGGGTCACATCCCCTCTTCAACCCAGGCCCTCAAGCCAGGACCACAGACCACAGACCCAGGGGAACCCAGGACCACAGACCATCACAGAAAATTCAGCCACAGATGTGTGACCAAGGTCACAGCGAGTGCCGGACTTCCTTCTTCCCCACCCCTGTGTTGCCTCCTATCAGAGAAGTGCCAGCGGTCACTGGGGTGAAGGGAAGGCACACTGGGGAAGGAAGGAAGGATCTGGGGGGGACGCTCAGGGGAGAACTTCAGCAGGTTCAGGGGGCGGGGTCAGGTGGGGCAGTGACGCTGGTAAAATGCAAAGCCCCGCCTCCAGCAATTCTGGCCTGACTCCTCCCACCTCCCCACCCTGACCCACCACCCGTCCTAGCCGGACCTCTTGGGAGGAGGGTGACACTATGCGGCGAATTTGAGTACTGCAGAAGTCCTTGTTGGCCGCCTAAATCCCATCTGGGTATCCCAGCTCTTCAGCGAAGGACCATTAACCTCTACCCTTTGCTGAGAGCGGGACGTGTCTAGAATGTCCTCCACATGCACATTCGCACACACTCACACGCTCCCATCCACCCACTCCCCACCCCATCGTGCCGCTGAAACTCCTTGTCTAGGAAGACTTCCCTCCCCCAGGGAGCACACCCCGACAGCCCCACTCAGACCCAGCCAGCTGTGTGCCTTGGCAAGAGTCTTAGGGACTGAGCCCCAGCTTCTTCCTCTGTAAAGCGAGGGTGACACAGGCACCACCCCCGCCCCACGCTGTGAGCCTTGTGAGCGCTGTGATACAAAAGGCTTTGATAATTACTCTGCTTCCCAGCCCCACTGAGACTTGGGGGGGCGGGGCGGGGGACGTGGAGGGGAAAGTCCAGGTGGAGCCATGTGAGTCAAGGCCCAGGGCGAGAACAAGACTGGCCCCTTCGGGATGTTGACACACTTGGTTTATGCAAGAGCCGAGCAGGGTACAGCTGGGCTGAGTATGGACTTGGGGGACAGGGGTAGATGGGTCAGAGAGCTGGCAAGGGATGGATGCCTCCGGGCCTCACAGTGAAGGAAGGGGGCAGTGCTCTGGCTTGGGGGCTGGGGAGGCTCCCAAGGCTGAACCCAGGGACAGGCAGTACTAGGTCTGCATAGAGTCCCGCTGGGAGAGGGTGAGGAGCTGTGGATTAGAGAGGATGGGTCAGGAGGCAAAGGAGCTGCAGTCAGCCCTCCAGGTGAGAGGTGTGACAGCCGGAATCGGCAGCAGAGAAGCTCAAACTATATTGGGGGACCCTGGCAATTGAGGGAGGAGAGGAAGGCATCTGGCAGGGCAGCTGGACGGGCGATGACATCAGGCACCGAGATCAGGCACAGGGGCCTCCCGCTGATTTTACGCTGATTTTACGGTGCGATCTGGGGCAAGACACTGATTTCTCTGACAACAGTGGCAGCCAGACCCCAGGCTGGGTCAGAAGCCCATGAGAACGGTGACTGAAAAAGCCCAGCAGCCACCAGCCCCACCCCAGTCTGATCTGGGGCCTCTTAAACTCACCCCTAAATTTGGTGCCCTTCCCAGTGCCGGGCATACGCCACCCACACACCTTCCACACACCCCATCCCCATGCCAATCATGGGACCTCCATGTGTCATCCACGTGCCCGCCACACAACACCCACCCACACATCCACATGCCTCACCTGCATGCCAGCTACACGACACCCACAGGCTGGCCGCACCCCACTCACACCGCCTCCACACGCCATCCACACGCTCCCTACGTGCCAACCACACACCACACACCACTAGGCGTACACCTGCCACAGGCCCCCAGCAGGCCTTCTTTATGTCATCCACGCACAGGCTACATGCCATCTCCATGCCACCCACCACCCGCCACGTACCAGAAACACCCACAAGCTTGTCATCTGGTGTGCTCAGCAACACCCCCCCACATGAGAACCCGGCAGCAGGCCAGGACCCCAAGGACATCCGCCCAGTTCCCAGGCCACCTCATTCCCCCGACAACGCACTCCCCATCCCCCGTAGCCTGCCCAGCTGCTCACCTTTGCAAGTGCAACCCTCGCGGGTGATGACCTGACGGCAGATGCCACAGGGCTTCACCTTCTTGAAGGTCTTCACCTTGAAGTGGTGAGTCTTGGGGGCCTCCAGATCCTCTGGCTGTGGGGGGAGAGGCACAGTGATGAGGCCTGGGCAAAAGGCCGGGAAAGGAGCCAGGGGAACTCGGGCATAAGTGGGCCAGGACTGGGGAAAACGAGAGGTGAGAGAGCCCCTTCAGGGGTGACAGGCCTGAGCCTATTTCTGGGAGGAGATGCCCCAGGAAAGAGAGCTGAACAGGACCCAGACCCAAACACTGAGGTGGGCGGCATACCGGGACACTGATTTCACATGACTTACTCAATACAATTTCACACACATACGCCATGTCACCACACTCCAGAAGACTCTCTCATAGCCGTCCCAGCCAACAGCCCCCTTAGGTAAATACTATTGTGACTTTTTTTTTAAAGATTTTATTTATGTATTTATTTGTGTGTGAGAGGGGGAGGAGAGCAGAGAGGGGGAGTGGGGAGAATCCCAAGTAGACCCTGAGATCATGACTTGGGTCAAAATTAAAAGTTAGACGCGGGGCTCCTGGGTGGCTCAGTGGTTTAATCATCTGCTCTTGGCTCAGGTTATTATCTGGGATCAAGCCCCACCACCGGGCTCCCTGCTTGGTGGAGTGTCGGCTTCTCCCTTCGTGCGCGTGGTCTCTCTCTCTCTCTCTCTCAAATAAATGAAATCTCTTAACAAACAAACAAACAAAAAAGAGTCGCATATTTAACCAGCAGCGCCACCCAGGCGCCCTGATACTACTGTGACTTCTATGGGCAAACTCTCATCTTGCCAGAGTTGGAAACTTCACTGTGTCATGAACTTCATTCCTGTGTCTGGCGTCTGGCGCTTGGGGTTCATCGGTGGGATTCAGCCACACGGCTCACTGCTGTGTGGTAGCCCACGTGTGACAGTTGCTGCTTCCTTTACCCATTCTACCGGCAATGGTCCTTAGCCTCTTTACCCACGGAATGCCACGACCCCCCACTCTCTCTCAGCCCCCTGCTACCACCTGCGGCCCCAGCCCAGAAGACTTCTGCCGTCTTTATTTTTATTTGCGGTTCTTTGCATTATGAAAATATTTTTCTGGGGACGCCTGGGTGGCTCAGTGGGTTACAGTCTCTGCCTCTGGCTCAGGTCATGATCCCGGGGTCCTGGGATCGAGCCCCGCATCGGGCTCTCTGCTCAGCAGGGAGCCTGCTTCCTCCTCTCTCTTGGCCTACTTGTGATCTCTGTCTGTCAAATGAATAAATAAAATCTTAAAAAAAAGAGAGAAAGAAGAAGAAAATATTGGTCTGTTAAATCTCCTTTTTATTTTTTTTTATTTTTATTTATTCATTTGACAGACAGAGATCACAAGTAGGCCGAGAGAGAGAGGAGGAAGCAGGCTCCCTGCTGAGCAGAGAGCCCGATGCGGGGCTCGATCCCAGGACCCTGAGATCATGACCTGAGCCAAAGGCAGAGGCTTTATCCCACTGAGCCACACAGGCGTCCCAGTTAAATCTCCTTTTTAAAACTAGCCCAACCACACACATGAGATGAGAGGCGGGCAGGCGGCCCAAGCCTTCTCTGCGTCTGACCGGCTGTAAGCCCCTGTTACAGTCACTGCCCACCGCTACCAAGGCCTCAGTTTCCTACTCTGGACAGCGCGAGGTTGGGCCCCACACCCTCAAGCCCCAACAATCTGTCTTTTGTAACCACATACAGGAAAGCACTCTAAGCCACAAAGCCCTGCACCCCCAGGGCTTAGAACCCCTACCCCCTTCTGCAGCCCTCAGCCCACGCATGGGCTGGGGGAGCTCCCCGTTCAGGAAGACATCCGTGCTCACAGGCACCATGCCTCTTCAGGGCACCCCACCATGGTGTCCAACCCGATTCATTTCCCAGCTTCGGCAGCAGGGGCCAGCAGAGCACAGACCTTGGCAGCTCCCTCGCTCTCTCCCTCTCCGGGGCCCAGAGCGTCCTGACCCCCATCTACACACATAGCCACACACAGAGACACAGCTGATGACAGACCCTGCAGTTCCGGGGGAGGGAGGGTTCTTCTCTTCCAAGTCTCCCTCCCCATACCCTGTGCCAGCGCCTCTGGGCTGGGGCTGGAGACGGTGACTTGAGTGTTCAGAGGAGGGAGGGAGGCAGCCTCCCGCAAACCCAGTATGTCCAGAATCCTCTTGGAAGACACTGCAGTGGAGAGTCCCGGGGAAGAGAGAGGCTAAGCCACGAGAGAAAAACCAACAGAATGAGAGAGAGACAGAAAGCCAGAGAAACAAAGAGGCAAGGAGATAGAAAGGGAGAGAGACAGACAGAAAGAATCAGAGAGACACAGATAAAGAGAGAGGAACAGAGAAGGATGGAGAAAAGCAACAGAGAGTCAAAGAGGAAAAAAGAAGACCCAGATAAGGCAGAGGCAAAGAAAGGCAGAGACGAACCAGCACACACAGAATAAGAGAAATTAGACAGAAACACATGGAGACTATAAAGGGAACCCGAGAATCAAAGAGGCAGACAGACAAAAGGACACAGGCGCCAGCTCGAATAGGCCCCCAAAGGCTTTTAAACCTGGGCAGATTTGAGCATCACAATCTGGAATGGTAGTAGTGGCTTAAATGAGTCTAGGCCCATATGGGAAATAAGTGAAAAAACTCAAAGTGTGATGAGAAACAGAAGATTTACGTATCCCAAAGACCCTCACCACGCCACGCCTCTAAATTACAAAGGGGTAAAAAGTAACTTCGCCTGGCAGACTCCTCGTTAATCAAGGGATCAAAGCGAACATGACCAGTAACGGGGTGAATGGAAATCGTGCCCCGCAGAGGGGACGCTCAGAGAACAGGACCCCGCGTCTGCCATGTTCCTGCCGAAGGGACAACTGGAACGTAATCATGAGGAAACATCAGACCGACCCAATCGAGGCACAGTCTACCAATTAAATGGCTTGTGATCATCTGAGGTGACAAGGTCACAGAAGTCAAGGCAAGTCTGAGATTTCCAGACGGATAAGAAAGACCGCGGGAGTCTGAGGAGATACGGCCGTCAAAGGCAGGGGCTGACTGGAACTGGGTTCTTCCCCAGCCCGTAAAGGACATCAGCAACTCGCCCGCAAACCGCTCAGGAAAACAAGTTCCTGGCACTGTATCTGCAATGCTTCTGAAGTTGGAGATGGGCTCAAAATTCAAAGAGAAGACAAGCAGACGGAGATGACAGGGAGGCAGCCCCAGCAGAGACAAAGCCCAGGACAGAGGTGGAGAGAGCGGAGGGCGGTGGAGCCGGGAGCCCGGCACTACTCGCTGGTCGCTAAACCAGGCAGCAGGGCCTGGGACCCGCTGGTCTGGAGTGTGGGGTCCCAGGAGCTATGCTTCCAGCTTCCGAGAAGGGTGGGGGCAGGGTGGCAGCAGGGGCAGGGCTGGGCACTGTCCTGCACTAGACCTCACTCAGTGTCCCCCAGCCCATCGGGAGGGACAGGTGAGCCCCCGCCATTCTGAAGTCTCACCTCTCCTGTTTGCCCGGTCGGCCAGGCTGGCAGCCTTCCAAATAATCTCTCGGTCTTAGACATTCCAGGGAGGGGGCTGGGCCCAAAGTCAACGGCAGCAGCCCAGCCCTGGGCTGGGGGGAGGTGCAGGAAAGGGACTTGGGGTTCAGTTTAAGGCCTGTGTAAGGAGTCAGGCAGGAAGCCCTAAAGCCCAATCTTCTCAGGCCTACTCCAGCCACCCCCCAAGCCTGCCTCTCCCACTACGTAGAGTCAAGCCGAACTCCCCATTCCAGCTGAGCCCCTAGACCCCAAATCCAGCTCTTCCCCCCAAAGCCCACAGAAGGAGGCCTTCTCCCCAAAGTATAGCTGAACAGTGGAATCCCCCAAAAAAGGCTCCTGGCAGCCCAATGAACAGATGGGAAGCAGGCAGAAACTTCCAGGCTGACAAGCAAACGCCCAGGCTTCTCCCCTGGGACCTCCTGCCCAAACTCATAAATATGGGTTTACAAACTCTCCGCACACGGGCGTGGAGAACAGGAACAGGGTCTCAGATACCTACTCCGCCCTCACTCATCTAAGCAGCCTGTGGGCCAAGGCCAAGCCCACTCCTGCCCCTCCCCCCACCTCATTCTGGCTCTCTTGCTGAAGGAACTCTGGGATTAGAGTCTAGAGGAGGACATCAGTGGCCTTCTCTGGGCCTCACAGACCCCAGAGGAAAATGACAGGTTTGGACAAGATAGTCTGGGTATAGAAAGAGCAGGGGAAACATTAGGCCACTTTGAGACAAGGGGCTGAAGGAATTGGGGTGGGACATGCTCATGGTTACCGAGAGGGGAGCCTCCTAGGATATTAGCCCAAGAGAGGCTGGGGAGCGAAGTGGGAGGGAGGAGGCCACCTCCAGGCAAGTGGCCCCAGGCTGTGACCTCCTCGGCAACATTAGCTTGCCCAGCTATAAGACAGGGTATCTGGCAAAGTCATTGAAAGAGTCACCTACAGAGCTCTGAAGGTACCAGTTTGCTGGAGGAGAAAGTCTAGGGTGGGTGAGCCTTAGATCTTCCAGTATCTGAAGGGGCTGTCCTTGTAAGCAGGGACCAGACATGATCTATGAAGTTATTCAAGGCAAAGCAAAACTCAGGGCGCAGGAGCCACGAGGACGCGTGATTCGATGCAAGGGGGTACAAGAGCGTCCCAACGACCAACCCGAGGTTAAAATCCTGGCGAAGAAGAAATCTGGGGGTCTGATACCCACATGGCCCTCACCCAGGGTTACTCTGCAGACGCGGATAGAGGACGGGAACGAGCCCACAAAGGCAAAGCTCTGCTCAGGGGTAGCCACTGGTTATGTTTTCCTGACAAGTGGCAGACAGCCTCCCAAAGCACTCCCTGACCCATCATAGCTGGATTAGCAGCTCCTAGAGGACCTGGGGGATCCTGGGGGGCAGAGGAGGCACAGCCATGGCAGGACCTGCCTCCCTCAAGAGCCAAAGCCCAGAGAAGGGAAGGGGTCCCAGTGAGGAACTCATTCCTCCCCACCCTCCAAGCCTAGAGCCGGAGTCCTGTGATAAGCACCCCCCACCCAGCATCCAAGGGCTTCCCG